GTTTCTGTTTCCCCAGAATACCTGGGATCCAAAAGACACAGGACAGCCTCTCATGGATGGGCTCCTCTTTGGTGGGAGATTTCTGTTAGCTCTGGGTGGTTCAGTGGAGCAGAGAGTGAGGCCACACAGCAACAGTGAATCTTTCTTCCTAAGGAATTCTTTCAGGGTCTCTGGGCCATGAGATTAGTTTCTGGGAGTGAACTCTTGAGTTTCCAGCCAGGCCTGACAGCATGGTTGCCCAGCCCACCTGTCCTGGGCTCAGCCTGTATCCCACACCTCAAGAAAAGGCTTTCTGGCCAGGCGTGGTGGCTCACGCCTGTAATCCCAGCACTTTGGAAGGCTGAGGTGGGCAGATCACCTGAGGGCAGGAGTTTGAGATCAGCCTGACCAACATGGCAAAACCCCGTCTCTACTGAAAATAAAAAATTAGTTGGGCATGGTGGCGGGCACCTGTAATCCCACCTACTCGGGAGGCTGAGGCAGGAGAATCCCTTGAACCTGGAGGACGGAGGCTACCATGAGCTGAGATCATGCCACTTACACTCTAGCCTGGGTGACAGGGCGAGACTCTATCTCAAAAAAAAAAAAAAAAAGAAAAGAAAAAAGAGAGGCTTTCTTCAGACTATGGCCAGATGGGGTGTGGACAGAGACATACATGTGTCTGTGCCTTAGGGGAAAGAGGGTGCCCTGAGGCCTCTGATAGTGAAAGGGTGCCCTCACTATCAGACTAAAAGGTCCCAGCCATTAACCTACTGCATCTAAAAGGTTCAAGACCTGGAGGGACATTGGGTTCAAGCCACCTGCAACAGGCTCGCTGTCCCACACAGCCTTTGAGATCTGATCCTATTTGTGGTCTCTCTGGGTGATTTCACCGTGTGTGTGTGTGTGTGTGGGCTTCTCATTCAGCCACTTGGCAAATGTGTCCCTGGACATTTATGGTGGCCAAACCCTATTTGTACGGGGCAGTGGGACATGGGACAGCAAGAACCACAGCCCAGACCACACCCAGTCCTCGGGAGGCCTCAGGGACAGGAAGAGAGGAGCTCAGGGTAGACAGGACAAGGGCCCACAGAACTTGGGCATGAAATGCAAAGATGGAATGAATGGGGAATAAAGCTGGCCAGGTGTCCTGGGGGATTCTCCCTGTTGTGGGAGTCAGAGGCAGTGAAAGGTCACCTTCCCCAGGGAAGGGAGCTTCACAGGAGAGGTAACATTTGAGCAGGGCCTTGAACCATGGGCAGTGCTTGGACACAGAGTTTGGAATAGAAGATACCTTCTTAGGAGAGAAATAATGTGAGCAAAAGCCTGGTACCCAGAGAATGTATAATTAGTTATTCAAATCTGCTCAACCCTTGGTTCCTGTTGAAGGTGATGGCAGGTCCTGAGCCACATGGCGTTGGTGGACATAGCAGAGTTTGTGTTCCTCAAACCCATGCAGGAACAAAGCTGGCCATTGTAAGTGGCCTTCCACCAAGTACCCATAGTAACCACTTGGAATGTGCTAGCTGTGTTTATTCTTCACTAGGGTTTCTAGGCAGCCTTTCTGGTGGCCAGGACTATGGCTAAGCCTCCCCCTTCTGTGTCCCTCCATACATCCTGGTGCTACAGACACCTCTCTCCTCCACCAGTGGGTGCTCCCAAGAGTCAGGGCTCAGTTTGTTGTTGAATCCGCTTCTCCCCAGCAGCTGGTTCCCTGCTCGGCTCAAAGGAGGACTCAGCAAGGGTTTGTTGTGTAACTGTCAGATACAAGGAAGATGTAGCTGGTCTGTCTACCTTTTCTTTTCCAAGAAGCAGAGCCAAACTGTCTCCAAATAACCAAAAAATTACCAAAGCCCCACCCTGCAAGCCAGCAATGCCTGATCCCTTGCATAGACAAGGACAGACATACCTATATTACAGAAATCCAGAAGTCAGAGAGAGTGGGTGGTGTGTTCTATTCAGAGTATGAGACAGACTAAGCTCATGACCTTCCACACCAGTTCCAGCCTTGGCTCCATCCTGGCTTGGGCAGAGTGATTGTATGAACAGGCACAGGGCCCCTGAGGTGGGCAACTGTGTCTGGGCTCAGGGAGCCACAGAGGTCTCTGACTCAAGCTGAGCCTGTGTGTCCATGTTCCATCTTCCCAGGCCTTCATCCATGGAGAAGCCCCTCACCATCCTGCAAGTGAGCCTGTACCACCCCACGCTGGGCCCATCTGCCTTTGCCAATGTGCCACCACGGCTGCAGCATGACACCAGCCCTCTGTTGCTCGGACGGGGGCAGGACGCCCACCTCCAGCTGCAGCTCCCCCACCTCTCCCGTTGTCACCTGTCCCTGGAGCCCTACCTGGAGAAAGGCAGTGCCATGCTGGCCTTCTGCCTCAAGGTCCTGAGCCGCAAGGGCTGTGTGTGGGTCAATGGGCTGACGCTAAGGTACCTGGAGCAGGTCACCCTGAGTCCCGTCAACAGGCTCTTCTTCTCAGGCATCCAGATGCTGGTTCGCATAGAAGAAGGCACATCCCTGGAGGCCTTTGTCTGCTATTTCCGTGTCAGCCCTTCACCCCTGATTTACAGACCTGAGGCTGAGGAAACTGACGAATGGGAAGGCATCTCCCAGGAGCAGCCTCCCCCTGGTTCAGGGCAGCAGACTTCAGGTTGCCTGGGGTTTCTCCACGGCCCGTCCCAGACTTGGGACAGCCCTCCCCAGCCAAGACCTGGAGGAGGAACAGAAATACAGCTCCAGAGGGAACCCCCAGACAGTACACTCTGCTAGCCCTGCCACTAGAGCAAGTCTTTGCTAGATGAAACAGGACTTGAAGTATTTGAACTACATCATGCAAGCTTGACAAGCAAAACCCGCTGGCTGCCTTGTTCATAATGAACCAATTCGGCAAACACTGAACAAACAGTCCGGGGTGGAGAAGCACCCTCTGTGGCCAGAGTTATGCAAAGTAATGGGAACTTCATATACTTTTAGAGGCCCTGAGGGGTTCTGGGGAGCCTCTCTCAGCATTTCCACACATTTCCCCCTCTTGTCTGACTAGGAGTTACTTTATGTGGTTCATTTTGCGTGCTGCTTAAGAGCGGGAGTTTGAGGTTGCACCAGGAATGCGTGGACACATGTAACAATTACATTTGTGGTAGCTTGGTGTTACCTTCAGCTTTCAAATACCCACAGGCACGCGGGGCTTAGGAAAGCCTGAGTTTAATAAACTGCAAGTATTTCATTAAGCTGGCACACCCAATAGGATTCCCTGATCCCCAGATGGGCCACATGCACGCCACGCTGTCATGCAGAGGTGGGGGTGAGAAATATAGACGAGGTGTAAGAGGAAATTGGAAAGGTGGGACTCACATTTCTGGAAAAGATGCAGGCAAGGCTCAGGGTTTCCTGAGGATGGGAGCTGGGAGCTGGGCCTGCCTGGAAATTCATTGTCCCCATCATCATCCTCATCCTCACACTCCCCATTCTCTGTCACTTCTGGATCAAGGCCTTGGCTGACTTGAGGGCAAAGGTCTTCAGAGAATGAGCGGATGGGGTGGGGGATTGTGTAAGAATTCAGCCAAGCAGTTATTTCACTCAGGGTGAGTCACACACCAAAGGGGGTGGGGGTGTTCCTTCCAAATAAGGGACTCGTTAGGAGCCAGGCACGCCAAAGGTGGGAGGATTTTCTCAGTGAATAAGGGGAGCAGCCACTTGCCACGCCATGCTGAGAAGGGGAGAGTGTGGTTTAGAAACAGCATTCACTGGTGTGATGCAGGGAGGGATCTACACGGTCACCATGATCCCAGACCCCACTCTCCCAGGAATCTGAGGCGCCGAGGGCACAGCCCTGTTCCCCTGGCTGACTCGAATCCCTGGGTCTGTAGTTGCCAGCAATTTCTGTTTTCTGCCCAAGAGGATGATCATTTTGCACCCAGGGCAAGCTACAAGGAGGTCCAACTTCACTCACAGGCCCTGAACATCTTCTCTATGAGGAAAACAGAGGTCGGCAAGACCCAGGCTTGCCCTGGTTTGGGAAGCTTCCTCTCCAACAGGAATGAAGCAAAAACACTCAGATCACTGCCACAAGGCAGGGAGAGCAGGGTGGCTAGGAAGGGGCTATCTGATGCTGTGAATGACCCCTTGGACCCCCAAAGCAGTTCCTCATTCATTCAGCAAACCTTCACCAAGCACCCACCTTGTGCCAGATCTGTGCAAAGCCACGGAACTGAACCAGAAGTGAGTAAGGCAAACTCCCTCAGGGAGTTTACGTTGTGCTCAGGAAAGTCAAGCATTCAGGAGTGCATTACTTATTTGATCACTACTGTGATTAGTGCTATAGTCATTGTATTTTTCTCTCTCCTCCAGCTGGGCTCACATACTCTTGTTAAGTGGCCTTGCCTGTTGAGTGCCTACCATGTGCTTAGGACTCTGCTAGGTGCTATGTATATTACCCTGTTTAAGGCTCATAACACCCCAGATAGACAATGGTATTAACTGCACTTTACAGATGAGAAAACTGAGACTCGGAAACATTACATATCTTGCCCAACATCACACCATCAGTAGCTATGTGACTTGGGCAAGTGACTTATTCTGCTCTTGCCTCTATTTCTCCCTCTGGAAAATGGGTAAGATAATAGTACTTACTACCTGCTAGAGTTATGAGGGCCTTAGGAGGTGGCACCTGTAAAGCACTCAGTCAGTGCCCAGCACACACTTAATAAGGGTTAGCTGCTATCATGAGACCTGAGAGAGGAGGGCTCACCATCCATACGGAAGTAAGGAAGACTCATGCCCCAGTAAGTTGGCTCCAGAACTCAAGGGCTTACCTGTGTTCTGTGACGCCCCAACTAGGGATTTAGTTGTAGCCATGGACCTGGTGGGCAACCAGGAGGGGATTTTAATCTGTTCCTTGCATCAGAAGGTCCAATAGGCAGGGTTAGTGTAATGGGAGATGCCATGGTAGGGCTGGCAAGGAGAAGAAGCCACGTGTACTTTGGTCTGATGAAAGGCAGCAGTGATCTGTCACCGACCAAAATGGTCCCCCAACTATGCATGTTGTGGGAGCAGCAACCCACATACAGAACTCAAGAAGCCATGGCCTGGAGGCTGCACCCAGACACGAAAGACTGGAGAGAGGAGCTGGTGGGGAAACCCCAGAGTCCCCAGGGTGCCACTCCCCGGCTCCACCAGACACTTTGGGAATGAGCTGCTGCCCCGAGTGGCCCTCTCCAGGGTTTCAGTGAGGGTCTCTCCCCTCCAGGGAGGAGCAGACCCTTGCCAACTGGAGTCCTGAGAGAGGAGAGAGTTCAATTCCTCCACAGGGGACTCTGCAACTGAGATCTTTGGAGTGAAGCATCTGCGAGCCCCTCAGGGACCCAGGATGAACTGCACAGCAGCTGAAGGAAGACAGGTCAGACCAGGCGGGAGGGAGCCACGAAACATCTGGCCTGTAGTTTCAGATTCTACCTGTTCACAGTTCACACAGTCTCCCCAGGAAACTCACACCTTGCCCTATGCCAAGTTTTTAAGACAGTTAAGCTCTGCCCATCCAAGACTTCATTTTTCTTGAGTAGAAAATCACTGAAATCATCAGATCCATGGCACCCACCCTCACTTTCTCCTAACAGCTGAAACCGTCAGGCTGGCTTCAGGGCCTGGTCTTCGCACTTGATATCACTATCCTTCACCTGCTCAGACAACCGGAGCAGGCGGGTGAGTTCCTCCCAGCAACCTCCACTGCATTCTCTCAGCTCCCACTGCAGGGCAGCCCATGCGTCTGAGTGAACATGTGTGCATGTGCACACACACAGGTATGCACAGACATACACTAAACATGAACACACAGTGCACATGAACGCTGCTCCAAGCTAGGGCCCTCTGGTCAGACTGCTGCCTGGGTTAGAATTCTTGTCCCCCTCCATGACCACTTACTATAGTTCTGTGATCCTGCACAAGTGACTGAATCTCCCTGTGCCACAGTTTCTTCTTGTAGAAACTGGGAAAGATCACAGTACCTACCTCCTTAGAGTCATTGTGAAGGTCAATTTGAGGCATCACACATTTAAGGCACCCAGACATAAGGGTCAACAGGGTTAGCTATCACTGTCCAGTTTGGTGAGAGGAACTGAATGCATGTGGACACATGGACTCAGTCTACACGCAGGCACAAAAGGAGCTACATTGGTTACATTCAGGTATACCCCAGAGCACTACAATTCTCTGAGACATTGTCTGGAAATCTAGAAATCACCTCCTTGCCCTTTAAGGTATTTTAACACTCACATTCCTCTGCCTTTCTAAGAATGTGAATCTTCCCAAGCTGTCCTTGAGAGACACAGCCTCCCCTTGAGGGAAACATGCAAATGCTCCATAAGCAGCCACAGTGTGGGGCTCTGCCGTGAGGAAGTCACAGCAGACACGCTAGACAGCATAGTCCTGGCTACAGCCTGGAGGAAGGGAGGCCCGTGGTGGAGCACTCACTCCGTGCTTGTCTGCCCAGTGAGACCTCAAGTTCCTTGAAGACAAAGGCCATGGGTTGTTGACTCTTGTGTTCCTGGTGGCCTTCACAGAGCTGAACAGAGGACAGACGCACAGACAGGTGGGGCTCTGGTGGTCAAGGCAGCAGTATCCTTAGATGCTAAAGTCTGAGCCAGGCCATCAGGCCCGGCATGGACAGGGCAAGGCCCATAGTGGTGGGAAGCCAGTTGGCCAGCTGGGGTGAGAAGACCATGAAGCCATGGGCAGACAGGAAGTAGAGGTGAATGTGTCTGCCTCCTATAGGCCTCTGCCGGGACAACACAGACCCTCTAGCTGGGGCAGCACAGACCCTCTAGCTGGGGCAGCACAGACCCTCTAGCTGGGGCAGCACAGACCCTCTAGCTGGGGCAGAACAAGGCTGGTGCTTCCTTCTAGTCCTTGAGCCTGTATAGCTCAAACTCAAGCAGAACCCTGGGGTTTTGGGATTCTGTGTGGTGACTGCTGAGGAAGGTTTATGGATTTGACAGGGTGCATGTGAGAGAGACAATTCTCAGTCAGCACTTCCTGTCCCCTGCAGAGGCTCATAGGGGACAGCCCTTGCCAAGGAGACCCTGGAGGGACTCTGAGGATAACAATCAGAGGTTGGGCTGGCTGGACTGAGCCTGGGCCTGTTGTCCACCAAATCTCCATAGGCTCTAGCCTGACCCCTCCCTCCACCCCTGGGCTATGCAGGCCAGCCTGTGCAGAACACCCCGATGCGTCCATTAGCAACATCCGCCTCACTGTGCCAACACTCCATCCACACAGGAAAGGGCCGAGAAGGCAATGCTTAACCCAAAGGAGTGAGTTTCATAGGAGGAGTGGTTTCAACAGTTTCACTGCAGGACACTGAGGGAATATTTCCCTATCCCTTCAAATGGACGGTCACTGCAGAAACGTGTAGAGCAAGACTTTGTCAACGGGTTGTTTCCAGGTCTCCCGGTGTCTAAATAGCAGAGTTGGGATGGGAACCGAGAACCGATTCTTTCCACAACCGCCCACTGAGTAGCAAGGCTGCAGCCAGCAAAGCGGTGTGCAGAAGCAAGCAAGCTCCATGTGGTGGGGACAGCACATCGCCACCTCCACCGCCCCCTGCAATGGGCTGCCAGCAAGGTCACCTGCCTTCCAGTGTATCTACTGTGTGAGCTTCTCCAGCTCTTCTCTGTTTTCTCTTCCTCAGCATCCACCCCGTGACACGTAGTGGTGGCTGATGTCGCCACAGTACCATGAGGTTAACAGCTCCTCCCTCCAGCTTCCTTCATGGTGGCAGCCTCACCTGCATTCCAGCCATTTGCCGGACACCGCACCAGACCCTCAAAGCCCATCCAAGACTGTGGGGAGTAGTAAACAACCCAGCCCAGTTAAAAGGAGATGCTGAATTTAATGAACTCTATTTGAATTGCAGGGCTGTGATTCCTCTTACCTTTAACGTGAACTCACAGGCGGATTAAAGTGAAATAAAACCTACCATTTGAGTTACATTCTCAGCTGATTGGAAACATGCATTGCCTCCCCATGACCGGGCCGTGAGAAGGGAAGTTATTATCTTTCTTTAGAGTTTGTAAACTCTTTATGGCTGGGGCAGCTTTAATCCTGCTGGGGGAAAAAAAAAGGATCCGGGAATCAATTGCTCCCATTTACCTTTGTTTTCCAATCACATGCTCCAGTGGGAATAAAACATCCTAAGTGAGGGGATGTGGGGAGCCAGGTGATCCCTGACAGAAGAGTTTGATTATTTTCTTCTCTAGGCATGTGAATTGAAGGAGCTTTAGAGTTCCATTTGGCAAGGGGGCTCGTTTCACAAAAATGTGCACCCCAGCAAGGATATCAGCACTCCTGGGCCATTACTGGTTCCTCTGCCTTTTCCTTCCAGAGGAAATGCCTTCCATTCCCCAACTGTGCCCGCTTCTTTAAGGGGTGCTTGTAGCAAAGGGCCCAGCTCCAGGTATTTGGCCAGGAAGGAGTCCAAGTACAGGCAGATTTGAATCCAAATCAAATCAGTCCAGGAACGAGGAGAAAACCTGTGAAGACTGGGGCTGTGGAGGAGGCTCTAGACTCCCTTTTGGCCTCTCCCATTTCTCTGACCCTCCCTGTGTGTGACCTGACAACACAGTTCACATGCAGTAGGTCCCAAGCAAGGCCGGCAGGAGGGTCCAGGCTCCGAGCCAAGCACTCTAACTGCTGGAAGGGGGCCTGGCTGCGATGTCTGCCTTGCTTTCCTTTAAAGATGTGGAGGCAGGGAGTAGAGGTGGGAGTCTTCGGAATAAGGCAGAGGCAGGGGTCTTCGGAGCGAGACCTCAGCCAGGCAGCCAGACACGAGGCTTCCATAATTGCTTCTCTGAGGGATCAGGGGCTGTCATGACGTCATTCGCTCAGAGGGCTTGCTACAGATGGGTTGGGAACATGGACCCTATTAAGTCACCTTGTTTAAGGGGAAGCCTATCATTCAGGATCCAGTCAGAAATGCAAAAACCGGTCTAAGTATGCAAAAAATGTAATTCAGGGAATTGGGTATGGAATCACCGAGAAGCCAAATAAGGGATGCAATTCAGAGATTAACAGAGATTGCTCCCACTGCTGGCTCCAGGCTGGAGGGCAACTGAAAGGGAGTGTTTCTGGAGTCACAGTGGGGAATGTCCAGCCCAGGGCTAGAATACCATGGAGGCCCCTAAGGAAGCTGGGACCTAGAGGGATAGGAGCCACAGACGAGAGGCAGCTGCCACCAGCAGCTGATGAGGTGACTCTACTTGACAGGCTGACAGAGGAAGGAATACCTTGGCTTCTCTTCTTCTTCGCCCCCCCCAACCCCAACCCCATTGGCTGAAGCCAGCCAGAGGCAAGCTGACCAGCAAGCCTGAGAAATGCAGCCTGTGGGGGTCGACTTTCCCGCAGTACAGAGCAGGGGATGAACGAGAGAGCCGTGGACCTGAGGACAAACAGCCAAATGGCCAGCACAGAGACCGTGGCCATGTCAATGCCCCTCAGCCTCGCCTGGGGCCATGGGGTGGCCAAGTAGGGAGAGAAGGACGGGGAGGCCACACTGCAGAGGACTCCACCATGCAGGGACCCCTGAGGGGCAAACATAGATCCCCACCATCACTGTCACCCCAACCTATGTGACCTTCAACATCTGTAAGGAGGGAGGGAGGAGGGCAAGTACCACAGAGTGAAGCACAGAGAAGACCCAGGCACAGCCTGGCTGGGCCCACACACAACTCACCCAGACGCCCTGCTTTGAACACCAGCCCCTGAGATAGGCAGGGGGCAGGGCAGAGACACCTGTCCTCAGGAAGCCAACAGGCCCAAATCCCACTGCCTTCCACTTACAGAATCCAGAAACTTCCTTCCTCCCCCAAGCCACTTTTTCCTCACCTATACAATGGGGATACTGTGAGTACTTACCTCACCTCTGTGAAGATGAAAAACACAACATGAGTGTGCCAGGTGCAGGGCTGGGCCCATTTCACATGCCAGTTGGCTGGACTCTCCCACCGGCAGGCAGAGCCCTGCGTGTGGCAGACGCCATCTTGGACATGTCTGTAGATGAGCAGTCACCTACACACAGTAGATCCTCAGTCCTCTCTCTTGACAGGAGAGAGAGTTGAGAGGAAGAATTTGGGTGGAGTGAAAGAAGACCACTAGGGCCAAAGCTCTGAGAAGAACCTCAGTCAAACCACAATACGGTTCCTGACAAAAAGGGGAAAATACACGTTAAATAAGTAAGTGCTCTGAGTGAGAAGAGGAAGGGTCAGTGGTCTTGCTCAGTGAATGGAACCACAGTATCCAGGGGACCCTGAGCCCGGAAGCCCATGGCAAATTCCAGCAGGGCCATGCAGGGCCCCACACCCCGTCCCTCTGCTACCTGCCAACAGGTTTTCCGGTTTCCAGATGGGCCTCGTCTCCTTGGTGCGACACGACCACCCAGCCCTTCACCACTCAGAAACACACGCACGAGGTCCAGAGCTCCCAAACTTGGAGAGCTGCCCCGGGAGTATTAGAAGCAGGCAGGCTGGAAGCCTGATGTTAGAGGCTTCCAGATCCAGTGCTGGGCCTCATTACTGGGAAACACATGGTCGTCCCCTGTGGACACTCTTGGAGGCCAAGGCGGGAAGCTAATCTTCGGGGGTCTCTGTCTTTCAGTTTTACGTTCCTCTTCCCCTGGGCCTCCAGGGTCTGTGGTTGCAGTGCAGAATTCAAGTCAAAACATCAGAAAGCCTCATGTGGTCTGACTTCTCCTTCCCCTCTCCATTCCCCAACACACACACACACATGCACGCATACACACATACACACACATGCATACACACACACACCTGCATACACATATCCATACATACACACACACATGCATACACACAAACACATGCATACACCTGCATACACACATCCATCCATACACACACACACATACACATGCATACACACACACCTGCATGCACACACACACACCTGCATGCACACACACACACCTGCATATACACATCCATCCATACACACACACACACACATACGCCTGCCTCTGGGCTCTGTCAAGCATCCCAGATTAAGTGTTGGTTAGAAAACCACATGATAATTATGAGCTGTGAGTTTTGCTCCACAGTTAAAGAAAGGGAAAATACTTCCACTTGAGATTCTCAGCCCGCTTTACACACCAGCGTGAATGTTTTGGCTCCGCTCAGGGGAAAACAGAAGCAGAGAAGTGACCCCACTAGAGGAATGGTAGGGGAGCATGCTGGGAAGGTCATAGTGCTCTGGTAAAGGGATGCATGCCGTAAGAGATGGCCACAAGTTCCCGGGAAGGTTGGAACAGCTAAGTCTGATGAAGAAAGCACTGGATTGAATGGAAGACATTCAGCATGGCCGAGCGATTCTGAGAAAGTCACCAGGAGCTCTGCATACTTTATTTTGCCAGTCTCTATAGTCAGAATTGTGCTGGCAAATGTTTAGCAGCTCTCTGAGTGGCGGGGGAGCTCGGATTATGTGTTTGCTGATGTCCGTGATGTAAATTGTCTTACCACGGTCAATTTCAAGGTATCAAAATGACATCACCGAATGTGGAATTGGAAAGAGACGCACAGTAAGCCTACCATCATGTGGCATTCCCATCATGCAGATACAATCAGTGTAAATAGCCCCAAGGCCATAGATATAGTAAGGTATAGTAAAATAACTAGGAAGCAGTGGGTTTTGATTTATTTATTCACTTTGTATTTAATATCATTTCACCATAAGTTCATATAATTGTTAATAAGTTAGTTACATTAAAAATTTAAGTTTAGTGAGTGATTAAATATAATTTAATGATTTAACAATCAGCTTTTATGAAACAGTGTGAGACAACTCCAGCACACCACTGCATGGAAAAAGTTCCAGACCCTTGTGCTCAAGTGCTGGCTGGAAAAACAAGTTAATGCCTTGGAAATAAACATGGTACCTAAGCAGAAGCCCTGGAAAGGCCGGAGTTACCATTCTAAGAAACACATACAATATTTTGCTATTTAAAAGTGAATTCGTTTATATTTATCACACTAGATATCCCAGCACTTTGGGAGGCCGAGACGGGCAGATCATGAGGTCAGGAGATCAAGACCAACCTGGCTAACACGGTGAAACCCCGTCTCTACTAAAAAAATACAAAAAACTAGCCGGACGTGGTGGCGGGCGCCTGTAGTCCCAGCTACTCGGGAGGCTGAGGCAGGAGAATGGCGTAAACCTGGGAGGCGGAGCTTGCAGTGAGCTGAGATCCGGCCACTGCACTCCAGCCTGGGCAACAGAGCAAGACTCCGTCTCAAAAATATAAAAAATTAAAAAAATAAAAAATAAGCTTGAGGATGTCAAACCATTCCATGGTATAGATGAGGAAACAGGATCAGAGAGGGAAAGGGAACACAAGCCCACTCAGCTGGTCAGGGGGGTGCAGCATTTGATTTACTCTAAATCCCTCTCTTGTCTCTACCACTCCCTTCGTGGTCTTAGTGAGGGGCAGCCCACACCAGCACACAACCTCTGACTGCACACCACTGTCAAAGCTCACCTAACAAGCGTCACCAGACACGGTTCACAAGTGGAGCGCCTGTGCCCGCCCTGGACTCAGCCCTCTGGCTTTAAAGGAATATTAAGTAAGAGGCCACACTCACTTCTTTCCTAGGACGTCTATGGCAGAGCTCGGGGGCAGTGACATTCAGAGGCTGCCTTTCTTCCAAGATTGGAGGAAAACACAGCTTTCTAAGTCCCACCCCTTTCTCTGCCCTCTGGGATGCAGGATGTTGGTGTCTCTGCTAAACTGATCAGAAGGCAGCAGAGGGCTTTAAACTCAATTCTCTGAGCTGTAGCCAAACCCCAAGGCCTCCTGGACACTGAGAGCTTGACAGTGCCTGACTGGCCACCCAGGCTGTGTGTGGTGTTACCCAGCAGCCCCTTGGAAAGCCCCAGACAGGCCACCACCCCATCCCCCAACCTGGAGCAGCCAGCACTGGATTCCAGGACC